ATCAATCAATCAGATTCCAAACTCTCCACCATGGCCAAGACCAAAGAGCTCTCCAAGGATGTCAGGCTGGAATGGGCTACAAGATCATCACCAAGCAGTTTGGTGAGAAGGTGACAACAGTTGGTGCGATTATTCGCAAATGGAAGAAACACAAAATAACTGTCAATCTCCCTCGGCCTGGGGCTCCATGCAAGATCTCACATCGTGGAGTTGCAATGATCATGAGAACGGTGAGGAATCAGCCCAGAACTATACGGGAGGATCTTGTCAATGATCTCAAGGCAGCTGGGACCATAGTCACCAAGAAAACAATTGGTAACACACTACGCCGTGAAGGACTGAAATCCTGCAGCGCCCGCAAGGTCCCCCTGCTCAAGAAAGCACATATACAGGGCCGTCTGAAGTTTGCCAATGAACATCTGAATGATTCAGAGGAGAACTGGGTGAAAGTGTTGTGGTCAGATGAGACCAAGATCGAGCTCTTTGGCATCAACTCAACTCGCCGTGTTTGGAGGAGGAGGAATGCTGCCTATGACCCCAAGAACACCATCCCCACCGTCAAACATGGAGGTGGAAACATTATGCTTTGGGGATGTTTTTCTGCTAAGGGGACAGGACAACTTCACCGCATCAAAGGGACGATGGACGGGGCCATGTACCGTCAAATCTTGGGTGAGAACCTCCTTCCCTCAGCCAGGGCATTGAAAATGGGTCGTGGTTGGGTATTCCAGCATGATGATGACCCAAAACACACGGCCAAGGCAACAAAGGACTGGCTCAAGAAGAAGCACATTAAGATCCTGGAGTGGCCTAGCCAGTCTCCAGACCTTAATCCCATAGAAAATCTGTGGAGGGAGCTGAAGGTTCGAGTTGCCAAACGTCAGCCTCGAAACCTTAATGACTTGGAGAAGATCTGCAAAGAGGTGTGGAACAAAATCCCTCCTGAGATGTGTGCAAACCTGGTGGCCAACTACAAGAAACGTCTGACCTCTGATTGCCAACAAGGGTTTTGCCACCAAGTACTAAGTAATGTTTTGCAGAGGGGTCAAATACTTATTTCCCTCATTAAAATGCAAATCAATTTATAACATTTTTGACATGTGTTTTTCTGGATTTTGTTGTTGTTATTCTGTCTCTCACTGTTCAAATATACCTACCATTAAAATTATAGACTGATCATTTCTTTGTCAGTGGGCAAACGTACAAAATCAGCAGGGGATCAAATACTTTTTTCCCTCACTGTATGTTGATATAGAATCGTAATATTTTAATATTTCTGGTTGTTTTAGACTAGAGTGTTCCGGGTTCTTGTGAGCAGGGCTTATTTATGTGCAATTCATATTTGTGATTCAGTGAATGCTCAATATGTGTGTGTGTGCGCATGCATGCATATGTATACGTGTGTGTGTGTGTTTCCAGTGTATCCCTGCCATCTCATCCATCCCCTGGTACACCACCACCGTTCCCTTGCTAATAGTGCTGTCAATGCGGGGGCTAAAAGACCTGGCCAATGACCTGGTGAGATCACTCACTCACCCTCCAATCACACACATTTGTCCTTCATTCTCCTCATTGACTCCTTGTCCTCTGCTCATTGACAAACTGGTCTTCCGAGTTGCATAAAACATTTTTTTTCACTATCATTAGCTAGCTTTCTCTCCTAAGGCAGCGATGACGTTTTGCATGGAGAATTCTGGGGTTAAGGGCATCACTGAGCTATGGTCTGTAACAGCCTTGGTGAAAGGCTTGTGTGACCCTCTTTATTGATGGATGCTAATTTCTCAGTTTGTGTCACTATAGGGTCCCCTAATGGTGTTTCTCTCTCTCTCTCTCTCTCTCTCTCTCTCTCTCTCTCTCTCTCTCTCTCTCTCTCTCTCTCCCTCTCTCTCTCTCTCTCTCTCTCTCTCTCTCTCTCTCTCTCTCTCCTCTCTCTCTCTCTTCTCTCTCTCTCTCTCTTCTCTCTCTCTCTCTCTTTCTCTCTCTCTCTCCTCTCTCTCTCTCCTCTCTCTCCTCTCTCTCTCTCTCTCTCTCTCTCTCTCTCTCCCTCTCTCTCATCAATTCAATTTGATTTAACTATCTCTGTCTTTCTCGCTCTCTCTCTCTCTCTCTCTCGCTCTCTCTCACTCTCACTCTCACTATCTCTCTATCTCTCTATCTCTCTATCTCTCTATCTCTCTCTCTCTCTCTCTCTCTCTATGTCTCTTTCTTTCTTTCTTTCTTTCTTTCTTTCTTTCTTTTTCTCTCTCTCGCTCTCTCTCTCTATGTCTCTCTTTCTTCCTCTCTCTCTTTCTTTCTTTCTCTCTCTCTCTTTCTCTCTCTTTCTCTCGCTCTCTCTGTCTCTCTGTCTCTATGTATCTATCTATATCTGTCTATTTCTCCTCTATCTCTCCATCAGGCCAGGAGACGCAGTGACTCTCAGATTAATAACCCTGTGATGTCCTCATCTCCCAGAGGTGAGCACAAAGAGACCAGCTCTGTCTCTCTGGGCAAAAACCTAACTTGAGACACCCGTGTGTACTGTAAAACCCTCAAACTTCTGTGTAAATCAATGTCGGTTCCTTTGTGCTTCTAGTACAAGGGAGAGAATGTAGGTATTTACCTCAACTCCTTTCTTTCTCCATTCTTTCTCTCTCCCTTTGTCTCTCTCTACTCCCGTCTCAGTTTCAGCCCATCCCAGTGGAAGGATGTATGTGTGGGAGATGTGTTGCGGCTTCACAAAGACCAGATCATCCTGGTGAGTTTCTAGGCCTAGGCTGTAGCTTCAGCTGACTCAGCACCACCTGCAGGTTTACAAACAGTCACAGATTGTGTAAAATAATGTTAATCCAAAACTTGTGTCTCTCTTGCTTTCTGGTGTCCTATCCCTGACTCTTGTTCCCCTCTCCCCCTCTCCCCCTCAACCTTTGAACCTCTCTATTCCCCCTTCTCTCTTTGTATCTCTTGTACAGGCAAATCTGCTTCTCCTCTGCAGCTTTGAGCCTAATAGCCTGTGCTACGTGGAGACAGCTGACATTGATGGGTAAGGTACAGGAACATCTATGTTCTAACAATGCACTTGGCTTTTATTCTGAGACTGATATCATTCTTATGAGTGAACTGCACCCCAGTAGTATGTGTCTTCCTCTTACACATATTATATCCATATAATAATACCTCTATTATGCAGTCACTTCTGTGCTGTTAGTGCAGAGATGACCACTGACCCAACAGAGCAGACCCTGGCTGCCACCCACACAGAGATGACCACTGACCCAACAGAGCAGACCCTGGCTGCCACCCACACAGAGATGACCACTGACCCAACAGAGCAGACCCTGGCTGCCACCCACACAGAGATGACCACTGACCCAACAGAGCAGACCCTGGCTGCCACCCACACAGAGATGACCACTGACCCAACAGAGCAGACCCTGGCTGCCACCCACACAGAGATGACCACTGACCCAACAGAGCAGACCCTGGCTGCCACCCACACAGAGATGACCACTGACCCAACAGAGCAGACCCTGGCTGCCACCCACACAGAGATGACCACTGACCCAACAGAGCAGACCCTAGCTGATGGTAGGCAGCACACTGAGCCAGAGCATTAGGAAGTAAGGGGAATTAGGTTAAAATGCAAAGTGTATTCAAAATATGGTGAGCTCCTTATAACTATATGTCAGTGTCAGGTTACAAATGTAAATAGCCCTTTCTTTCACTCTACCCCTCCATCATTTTCTTTCTGCCCCCTCTCCGTCCCTCCCTTTCACTCTCTCCCTCCCTCTCTTATTTGCTCCCCACCCCTATCTCTCCCTCTCTCCCTCCGTCTCTCAGGCATTGTGTTGTGTGAGGAGCCCAACAGTCCTCTGTACACCTTCCGTGGAGAGCTCCACTGGAGGGGGGAGCGCCACCTTCTGGACAGTGAACACATCCTGCTGAGAGGAACAGTCCTTCGCAGTACAGACACAGCCTATGGCATGGTCATATGCACCGGTACTCAGCACACATACATAGGCCCTGCTCCAATACTTTAAAATGGATCCTCTCTTCCTCCCCTAACAGATCAATTATAAGGACTATGAAATAGAAAATAGAAAGTTAAAATGACACATCTTCCTGTCCCTCAGGCTCAGACAGTAAGATCCTGGTTGGTCGGCTCAGATTCAAAATGACTCAGATTGAGAAGGCCCTGAACAAAGTGGTCATTGTGGTGAGTGATAGGCCCTGAACAAAGTAGTCATTGTGGTGAGTGATAAAGAATTGGAGAGGATGATGAAGTAATGCAGTGTGAGAGTTATGGAGATAGATGGTTTAATCTGCTGATTGATATGCATCTCTTGTCTTGACTCATTTCATTATGATAAACTATTCAACTTTAACATGTGTTTTATGCGTGCATTATGAGTGTTTTTGTGTTTATCTACATGTACTGTATGTGTATGTCTGTGATCTCAGATAGTGCTGATCCTGCTGCTGGTGGCTCTACTGCTGGCTGTCGGGTCGGGGGTGTTTGATGAGCGTATGTCGTCCCAAATAGAGGTGCTGTCTGCATTAACGGGGGGCAACTCGCCCATCTACACAGCCTTCCTCACCTACTGGAGCTAGGTGATCCTGCTCAGCCCCGCCATGCCCATGGCTCTCTACATCACGTGAGTAGGCCTACCACAACCAGGTTTGGGCTCAGTTCCATTTCAATTCAGTCAATTCAGGAGACAAGTTGACATTTCTATTCCAGAATCAAAAAGTGGAATCGACTCCTCCAATCCTATAGTACTGTACAGACATACTTCATCTGAAATGTCACTGTCTGTCACACATCTAGTACTATCTAGTATGGATGGCCTATGACCTGGAAGCAACCTTCCTCTGTGTGTGTGTGTTAGATTTGGTTTCACCACTACTAGGGCCTGAAGTACGTTGTGTTATTGTGCAGAGGGTTCTCAGTTTGGTCCCCGGTTTGGAAAGACAGTGATTAAACTCACTTATGTTTGCATCTGACCAATGACCCAGACCTACATATGTGTGTGGCAGACTCAGGGTTTGAGTTACAGGCTGACTGGAAGTTCTGGGCACTATATAACAAATCAGGGCACCCTCGTAAATGTTTAAATATTCATATGTACACGCCTATAACTGCTAAATATTTAATGATGGTCCAGCCCTCTAGAGTCAAGGTGTCATCTGAAATGTGGTTGGAATCACACTCCCCATCTGCCCACTGTCTGCTACTACTCTCTGTCTGGTAGAAGGAGTAGACAGCCCCCTATCCCCACTTTATCTGCACATTTCTTAATTTCTCTTTCTTGTATTTTTTCAGGAGATGCGTCAATCAGTGCAGAGGAATCACAGGTATCGATCCAGGTTTAGATGTTCCATATTATTGTAGAGAAAAACATACTGTATACGGTTATGCGGTTCAGTCCAGTATTATTTGCACATAGTCAAATCAGTCAGGAAGTAGTAAACAAACAAACGAACAAACCTTTGACCTCTCTGCCCCACCTCTGCCTCCCCCAGACATTAGACCTGAGCTGGAACCCATTCTCCTGTGGGGGTCTGTATCTGTCTGACCAGTGGCTGGTGGACAGGTTGAGGGGGCAGCAGTGCACTCAGAGCAGACAGTTCCTCATCGTACTGGCACTCTGACAGAATGGAAGAAAGGTGAGGGCAAACAAGTCATTATTGTGTAGTTAGTTTAACTAGGTAAATACTTGGTGTTTTCTGTACAGTAAAACAAAATGCATGTCATCGTGGAACAGGAATACAGTTCTGTTTTATGGTGTTCGTTCCAGGGGCCCCAGTGTACCAGGCTGCGTCCCCAGACGAAGAGGCCCTGGTGGGGGCAGCCAGGGAGCTGGGCTGGGTCTTCCTCTCCAGGACCAGGGACTCTCTGACAGTCAGTGAGCTGGGCCTCAAACGCCACTACCAGCTCCTCACCCTGCTCGACTTCACCAGCCATAGGAGACACATGTCTGTACTGGGTGAGACTGACGTTACCATCTGGCCATGCTGGAAAGGATGAATGTATAACCCTGAGCCTACCCCTAACAAATATACCCTAATTATGTACTTTCTCAAAAGATCTGACAGAATTGCCTCTTTTGTCCTTTCTAGCATGGCTATCTCGTGACTACCTGAGTGAGACTGGATGCATCTGCCCCACAGCTCCCCTATCCTGGCACCTTTCCCTCACTTTCTCTCCCTTCATCTCTCTATCCCCCAGTCTCTGGTCTTGATGTATTCTCCCGACATGTGTAGATATGTTTTATCCTCTGATGTATGTTGTTGTGTGTGCAGTGCTGGAGCCAGAGGGAGGGCTGAAGTTACACTGGAAAGGTGCTGACACGGTGATCCTGGAGAGACTACAAAAAGACTGTCCACATCTGGAGAGCACTGAGAGAGCCTTAGATGTAAGACACAAACGTACACGTGCGCACACACACACACACACACACACACACATGCACACACACACACTACATATAGTAAGCAGAACAAGCAGATCTCATGCAACATCTCATCAAGTATATTCCTGTCCTCTTCCAGCAGTTTGCCCAGTCCTGTCTGAGAACCCTGAACATGCTGAACATACTGTACCTGAGGCCTAATGGGAGGAGTGGAGCAAAACCCTGGCACAGGCTGCCTTGACAACCCGTAACCATGAGGACATGCTGGAACAGCTGTATGACGACATGGAGAGAGATCTAAAGGTATCCTCATAGTCATGGCATTGCATTATAGTATGTTCATACAATGGGATTTGATGAGAATCACTATGCTCCAAAGGATGATACCAATCAAGGAAACTCAGGAATGCTTTATATAAATGTAATGTTTATTATTATTTTTTATTTAACCTTTATTTAACTAGGCAAGTCAGTTAAGAACAAATTCTTATTTACAATGACGGCCTACCCCGGCCAAACCCGGACGACGCTGGGCCAATTGTGCGCCGCCCTGTGGGACTCCCAATGTGATCCACTATCATAGTGATAAACTCTCTGTATATCCTGGTTCCTGTTATGCAGCTGCTGGGGGTGATGGCTATAGAGGCCCGGCTGCAGGACCGAGTCCCTGAGACCATCTCCTTGCTCAGACAGGCTAGACTCAAAGTCTGGGTGCTGACCGGGGACAAGAAAGGTAGACACCACACCATACTGAGTGGAGAAAAAGCTCACTGTTCTGTTCTTCTTAGTCATTAATCCCTCTGTCTGTCTCTCTGTCACTGTCTGTCTGAACATAGGATAATCCTGCAGATTTCTGGATCCTGATACCAGACTATTAGAAGGGAGGAACTGAGGTCAGACATATTTACACACACACACACGGCTACACGGCACACACAGACAAACACATTGCTACACAACACGCACCACGGACACACACATTTCCTCTACTTTTCCAATATACTTTATCTATTAGTGTGAGTGTGATGGACAGAGAGGTTGGCTGTGAAATTATATCTGTTCAAAAGCAGGTTGTATTTAACATGTTCTCTCTCTCTCTCTCTCTCTCTCTCTCTCTCTCTCTCCTCTCTCTCTCTCTCTCTCTCTCTCTCTCTCTCTCTCTCTCTCTCTCTCTCTCTCTCTCTCTCTCCTCTCTCTCTCTCTCTCTCTCTCCCCCTTCTCCCTCCTCTACCGGGTCATATATGGGTTGGTTTGGCTGGTGTAGAGGGGGGTCAGGCAGTGCAGAATGCTGACCATACCCTGGCCCAGTTCAGCTTCGTACAGAGACTCCTATTGGTCCACGGCAGCTGATCGTACCGCCGCATTGCTGTCTTCCTGCGCTACTTCCTGTACAAAACCTGCGGCTTCGCTCTGGTACATATCTGGTTTCACAGCTTCTTCAATGGCTTCAGTGCCCGGGTTAGATGGCCTTACTGGTCACATTGGTTTTGCATCATAAATGGAACTGCAAGCTTTTTTAACAGACCGCAATGTTTTTGCCCATTTCTGTGCTGTTTTCTTCCAGTCTCTGTATGAAAATTGGTTCATCATCCTGTACACTGTCTTCTACACCGACATGCCAGTACAATGCCTGGGCATTTTCGAGCAGGTAAGGTATCTTTGTAAAGAGGTGTGTAATCCAATTTGAACAGTGCTTTAACCTAGGGTATGGCCCAAGAGTTGACGTGAATAACTTTTTTTATGTTTCACTATTTGTATCTTTATGAAATTCACTGAGGAGAATGGTCCTCCCCTTCCTCCTCTGAGGGGCCTCCACTGGTAGGATGTGTGTGCACCATGTTTTGGGATATATTTTTGTATATGCCCATAGAAGATTACATCCTTTCAAAAGCAACAAACCAAACTGAGACAGCAAATACGTTTTAACCTTGTTTTATTTGTTAATTTATTTCAAAACACGCAATTTACCCATATTATCCTTTTAAGTTTTTATTTTCTGTAACAGTTAGCTATTACTCAGATTTTTTTCCTTCTCAAAAGTCTCCACTAGAGCTAAACAAAAAGTTATCCACAGGCTCTCCGGCTTCTGCAGTGGGAGGAGGGAAAAGAGGCTCTCAGACCAGAGGCTGTGTTGTTGGGCCTTCAACATCCTACAGGACGCACAGGTGTGTGTGGTGTGCGGTGTGTGTGTGTGTGGTGTGCGGTGTGTGTGTGTGTGTGTGGTGTGTTTGTGCGATCAGTTCAGTGGTCAGATTGTCATTCCTCTGATTTCATCTTTGGTTTTGAACATACGCTCTCAAATGGCAGACTTTAATTCTATGTATGTGAGTGTGTGAGTACTGAAAGTCACCCTTGCCTTTTGAGACTTTTGTAAACTATGGTCCATTTGGATGTCTATGCATTGATTGATTGGGGCCTTCCTTGTCCCTAAACAGAGACTATCCAACATTGTAACATGTGACCATGTAGCAAAGTGATTTAGGCTACCCACATGGGCATGGCCTCCATTTCATGTCAATGGCAGTTTGGGACCGTTCTAAAATCTAGTAAAAACACAGTCTGGTACCCACTGGAGAGTCAGTGCTGTAGCGCCTCTCCTCTCCAGGCACTCTACAGTACCCTGAGTGACTGGAGCCGCTAGACCCACTCTGGGGGAAACCGGGAGGGGGGGCAGAGGTCATGAAATGGAAAGGGTAGGTGGGGGATAGAAGGTTGTACACTCTGACCCAGCAGCAATGACTAAGATTGGGGGGTCAGGTGTTTGCATAGATTTCTGTGCAAAAGCCACATCCTCTTATCTCTCACAGCTGGTTTTGTCAACATTAGATCAGCAGGAGAGGGGTTAGATGTAGTGATAGCTGTCTTGCACTGCATTGTATAGTTTCCCCCCACACACTATGCAGTGCCAGTGAGTGAAGGCATGTGAGACTGACAGGTGAGAGGGAATGTTGTTGTGTGTCCTTCTTGATCAGAATTGGGTTATTATTATAGACAAGGGCTGTCAGAGTAGGTGAGGGCTAACTGTTTGGTTTAAGATGATTTTACATTTTAGTTATTTAGCAGACATTCTTATCCAGAGCAACTTACAGGAGCAATTATGGTTAAGTGCCTTGTTCAAGGGCACATTGACAGATTTTTCACCTAGTCGGCTCGGGGATTTGAACCAGTAACCTTTTTGGTTATTGGCCCAACACTCCCACTAGGCTACCTGCCACCCTTTGTGTGGCTTGTGATGAGATTTATGATAGGGAGTGTTTTGGAGTGTGGGGTGGTGGGTAGTGGGTCGTGGGCATATTTTGGCAGTTGGGGCACTACAGCAGTAAATGACCCAGAGAGCCTCTTTTCCCTATTTCTCTTCCCAATCCCCCCCTACCGGCCTGTCCTCTCTTTACCTTTTTCTTGTTTTGAAACTGATTGTCTTCTACCATCACAAAGACACTTGGTTCTGATTGATTAACAGGTACCAGAAGAGGGAGAGCACAGTGTGACTGGGGGTGGTAACGGGGTCTGACTGCAGGCCGACTGACAACTTTACATCCCAAGGGGAAATGATGCACATCTGCTGTTTGACAGTAGATGAGAACATCTCTGGTTGGAGTGGTCAGTTGCCAACATACTGGTTGGTTGGTAAATGTTTACACTTTGCATGAAAAAGGTTAGAACCCAAAGAAAGAACACTTTTTCACATAAGTACAAATGCACACACACATACACACAGATTGAAGAAAACAATGAGACATACAGTACATATAGGCAGCTACACCCAGGCCTGTGGCTTAGTCCCTCTGATTAACTCCAAGGAAACAACCTGGCCTTGGAAAAGCAGGACAACCACCGACAGGACCTTGTTGGTAGCCAGGCTGAGGAATGAGATTGAATGAAATTGATTGGAGAGGAGGAGTGGAATCTCCCCAGCACACTGCCCCCTACTGTCAGGATTTATATACATTAAAGAAACGTGGGGAGGGGGAAAGGGTAGCAACAACACATGCACACAACCAGTGAATCCAACGGACACAAAAAGTCTAAAAACAAAGACCCCTCCAACGCCAAACCCCGACCCCACCCTTTTACCAAATACCCCCCTCCACCCACCCCCAGTCTTTCCTTCCTCCTCTCCCACAAAATCACAGGTCATTCCTGTAGGTTTCTATACAGTTATACAATATCCATGCAGAAAAAAAAGGTTGCGCCCCCCTTTCAATGAGAGGTGCTGTTTTTTATATTTTAATAACATCAGGAGTACTCGAACACACTCAGGAACCTTCAAAAGTAACTGTGAAATTGTTTTGGAGAAAAGAGAACAAAATGGCAGAAGAAAGCTTAGGATGAGTAAAAAAAATGTCTTCCTTTGGTTGATATTCAAATTATGCTTTTTTGAATTTGATCCAAATCCGGGTTTTCTTGTCTTTGAAAAAACACGCCTCTCAAAGAGCTGAGCTAACTACCTATGTGTTAAGTAGCTCTTGTAGCCGTGTTTCTCTCTTTCCTTCCTCTTACAGCCTTTTCTCCTGTCTCTTCTTCTTTTCCCATTTTATCTTCCACAGAAACATTCACAATGTCTTTCCTTTATGAAAACATTAAGTACATGCCGTAGCAAAACAAACAGGAAATGTACAAGAAAATGAGCAAACAAATTCAAAAATGTAACAGTATAAAGCTTCAAGTCACAAGTTCCAAAACTAACTATCATAGTATCGTAGTATCATAATCATTGTTATCATTAGCATTACTATTTTAAGTTAAATTACATAAACTTTACATGAAAGGTTTGAGGTATTTCAGAATTAATTGTCAACACATGCCTACCAAGTCTTAGCTCTGGCCAGGGGGAGAGGTTGATGTGTGAGTAGAGTAGACAGGGTGGGGGTGGAGGGAGAGCGAAGTTGTGTCAGTCTATAATTGTCAATGGCTGTTCCGGTGCCCAGTGCAGCATTAGTTCTGGCACCAGGTGTGGAGAGAGAGTGGCATGCAGTGGTGAGATATTACAACTACATCCTGGTCACTTCTGACTTCTGTCAAGCCCTTTAACCTCCTCCCTTCCTGTTACATAAAAATATCTCTGTTGGGAGGGGTAAAGGGACAGAGAGCAGAAGAACACCAGGCTAAAGAAACTAGGGCTCTGAGCTACTCCGACAGCAACTACTGTGCAGTAACAAAGTGATTGACGGAATTCGAAGTAACATATTTTTGTCTCAAATAAATAGTGTATAGAAAATGTTTTATGGACTTCCTACATGATAAAGTGCTTGGATTCTAGTGTATCAAGATGGAAAGTCAACATGAGAGAAGATGCTGACACAGCCCCCACACCCTTTCTTTGGCCCCCCTTTCTGTCCATCTAATAATGAATGTAATGTCTATGTATAAGTGTGTGTGTGTGTGCGTGTGTGTGTCCAGAGCAGTCCCACCCGTGGTTGAAGGAAAAAGGCACTCAACTCTATCTGCATGGTAGCCACCTCCTCCTTTGTGGCACAATGCAGCCTGACTGTACTGTGTGTGTGTGTGTGTGTGTGTGTGTGTGTGTGTGTGTGTGTGTATGGAGCGTGTCAGCGTGTCTATCTGTGTCAGTGTGTCTGTCTGTAACAGTGTTGGGGCAGAGGGGGGCTCTTTTTGGTATGTGTCCCCCAGGCAGCATTGGACTGGCAGGCTGGAGTAATCTTTGGTATTCGTGGCGGTTTCACAAACCACTCAGCTTAGTGAGGTAGCCACATTGGTTCTCACTACAAACAAAGGTCATTTTTTCAGCCACGGACATAGAGCTGAATCCTATCCTTGCTGAACTGTGTACCACAAATCAATTTTTCTCATCGTTCGAGACTTTAAACTCACTGCTTATAGCAAAGTGAGTTTACAGCCGTTTTATCAAACCATCTACCATGACAATGTCTTATCTAATCTGCACAGTTAATCTAACTACATTGTTGGAAATGCTACAGTTGCATTTTAAGACCATACAGATAGCATCCATGTACCAACTCCCCTTTAACCTTCATCCCCTCCCTCCCTCCCTACCTCCCCCATACACACACATAATCAGAAAGGACTTATGGAGGTCATGTTGTGTCCCCTTTCCACAGCCTGTTTTTGAGGCTCAGGTTAAAGGGGTGCTGATGTACGGACCGCAGCCCTACATGAAACGCCACGAAAGAATACATCGTCCATCTCCCTGGTTTCTCCTGTTCTTGGGAGATGTCTCCTCCTCGTCAATATTCACATATAATGCAAAAAATATGTCCTTCATTGGTCTCTGTCCTCGCATCCCTCTTTTTTTTCTTTTAAAAAGTCCTTACATTTGTCTTTTTTTGATTTATCAACAAGGTGCCTTACTTATGCACGACAGAGCACAAAAGTAACAAGAAATATAAACTTTGTGTCTATGGTACTAATTACCCGCATCAATATTATAGAGTGAAAGAAAGAAAGAGAGGGAAAAGAGGGGGATAGGGGAAGAGGAGGTAGATAACCAAAGATAGAATGAAAGAGAGAGAGAGAGATTTTCCTCTGTTTCAAAATGTGTCAAGTATGTGTCGGTGGATTTTTCTTTGGAACATATTGTGGTATCTTTGTGGTTTTGAGGTTTGGTATTGTATGCCTTAAAATTGGGTTGATTTTTTTTTCTTCCTAAAAAAGCAGATTCTAATTCACTTAAATGTTTATTGTGGGTTGCTATGGTACATACTGCCCATCAGTAGGAGTATTGGCACACTGTAGCTGTGTGTGAATGCAATACCATATTCTCTGATTATCATTAAGGCAGTTAGCATTGGCACTAGTTCTTGTAGCATTTGTGACTGTATTGTGTCTCGGCTAGCCACAGATAATAACCATTGCGTGGGAATATCAAGTGGAAGATTTGCTCTTTTCCAAATCTGCTGATCCCTATTTTTGGTAAAAGACAGATGATGCATCTAAACTGTGTGTCATTCAGTTTCAAAATAGGAAGCCTCCACCATTTTTGCTTAAATTATGATGTAAAACTAAATCTTCGTAGCACCTCAAATGTTTCTGGATCCATCATTACCCCTCTGTCCACTAAATGAAACTGAGATATATCTCTATATCAACTGTATGTGTTTCTGAGTGTATCTTTGCAATACCCTAACGTGTATTTTGTGACACAAGGTCATCTATTTGCTTGGTGAGTGTTATCAAGGTAACGTATTTGGAGTGCTTGCTAAAAACCTGCCTCTTCTTTTTCCCAGTGTATAGGCCGCTGGTTGAACCATCCCCCTCCTCCTACTTCACCAGTCCTTGTTGGATGAGGAACAACAATAGGATAATGGCTCTCTATTGATCTGCCTTCAGAGAGGTTCGAGTGCCTGAAAATGTTGTGCCATGGCCTCTCTCTCCCCAGCCCTGGAACACACTGAGAAGCCTCTCCTCGAGGACTGCTGTCTCCAGCTTTCTCTTATAACCAGCAGGGGGCACTGGGGCACCTTCAGTGCAGAGCAGACTGGACAGCTGCCACGGCGAGGCCATTGTGTCACCACCTCCATTGAATTCCATGTGCTCTTCTTACATTCTCCTCTGCAGCAGCTGTAATACAGTTGGCTGGACGCCTGCCTGGCCGTGTTGTCGCTTGGTTTCTGTATTGATCAGTGAAAAGCATCTCCCTCCTGAACAAAGAGCATGTCCAGACATATTGCCTCCCCGACGGTCACAAACACAGACGCTTCTGCTTCTCCAAAGCAACGACAGTCTCCCTGCAGGCCTCCAACATCTGTGCAAAAATATAGACCTGGGCAGCCGGGTAGACCTGAGTATCTTTACTGCCAAGCGTCTTCTGTTTCACCTTCAGGAAGGGTCAAGGCCCTGCTCCCTCTCCCTGTCTGCATCGATCCATTTTTCAATTCATTCGTTTGCAGGCGTATGATCCGAGTGGCTCGCTGAAATGGCTGGCCATCAGGGAATACCTTTGGCGAAGAAGGAGTGGAGAGAGGGAGGAGAAGACCGGTCGAGGTTTTGTTTTTTCATGGGGTTGTGTTGTTTTTTCTAGGATGGTCTTGCGCACAGGACTGGGTTAGATAACAGGGCTGTGTGCTGTCAGGTTTATTGACGTTCTTTTGTCCTTGTTGAGAAATGTGAGTAGAGAGTGAGGCTGAGCAGACTCATAGCAGACACAAAGGGGAGTGCTGGGAGGGATTCAGCAGCAACTACCTGGTAGGGAGGCTGGCCGAGGCTTGATGTTGAGATTGTTTAAACATAGCAACATATCATGATGGTGCATGTAGTGTAGATGGACTGACACCATCAACAGAAACCCAATTCAATCAAAAAAAAAGTGATTGTCCTTGTGTGGACCTGACTACATGTTACCTTTACGTTTCACTTGCTTCATAAGAGTCCAGTGGTGAGACTTTCAGATCGTGGTGGTTACAGTTACAATTGACCAAGAGGTGGTTGCATGGAACGAATGAGGCATCAACATGGTTATTGGGAACGGAGTGGGCTACAGGAGGTACCACCTCCCCATCCCCATGCCACCCCGTGGCTCCCCCCGGGCCTCTCAGGCTTTGGAAAAGGTGGTGGCCGAGGTGCCCGGCTGGCCGGGGCTGGTGCCGTGCTCGTCGTGCCAGCGGTCCACACAGCGTCGCCGGGCGTTCATGAAGAAGTTGCTGACGGTGTTGAGCTCCAGGCCCAGCTGCTGGGAGATGGTGATCTGCATCTCCTTGGACGGGCGCTTGTTCTCCTTGAAGATGGCGATGAGCGTGCGGCGTTGCAGGTCTGTGAAGACCAGCCGCTGCTTTTTGGGCACCATGTTGCAGTCTTTGTGCTGCTCCTGCTCTTTGCGCTTGCAGGCTGTGAGGGGTGGTAGGGGTGGTAGGGGTGGGAGGGGTGGTAGGGGTGTTAGGGGTGGGAGGGGTGGTAGGGGTGGTAGGGGTGGGAGGGGTGGGAGGGATGGGAGGGGTGTTAGGGGTGGGGGGGGTGGGAGGGGTGTTAGGGGTGGGAGGGGGTGGTAAGGGTGGGAGGGGGTGGTAGGGGTGGGAGGGGTGGTAAGGGTGGGAGGGGTGGGAGGGGTGGGAGGGATGGTAAGGGTGGGAGGGGTGGGAGGGGTGGTAAGGGTGGGAGGGGTGGTAGGGGTGGGAGGGGTGGGAGGGATGGTAGGGGTTGGGAAGAGATAAACATAGCATAAATGCAGTGTTATAGTTATAGTACTGTAATAGTATATGAATATGAGTATTTCAGATAGTGTAAAATGGTGAGTGATGCAGAGGGAGAATTAGGGGAAGGTGTGGGAAATGAGTCATTAGCCAGACATAAAAACAGGTTTCAGCAGCAACAAAATAGATTGAGCTCCCTTATATTGCCATGTATTAAACTTGGTGCCCAGTGGGAATATTCCTTCCATCCTGCAGAGTGCAAACAGGGAGCTAGCCTGCGGTAAGCTGCTCTGACTGCCTGGTGGAGACACTGCTGTTTGATTCAATATTAATGCAGTTTGGGTCGCAATGGGAGACTGAGTGACTGTTACACAAAAGTGAGCGTTTGTGTGTGTGCGTTTGTGTGCATGTGTGTGCACACGCACACATCCGTGTGAGTGAGAGAGAGAGAGCGCGAGAGAAGAGAGAAAGAGAGCTTAGTGTGTGTGCTTGTGTGTGCATGTGTGTATGAGAGAGGGAGTGGTAGAGAGGGATATATTGACCCACATTGCTGTAGGAATTGGGGGGGTTCTCTACAGGGACTGAGGTCAGAATCCCCTCCAGCAGGTCTGCAGTCTGCTACATCAAACAGAGAACCCACTGGAGCCCTATTCATTGAGCTCTGAGGTGGTATTTATAACTGCCTCCAACACAAAATGGAGGGTTGAGTGTGCACTGACTTCTATGAGGATCAATTTGAAAAGAAAACATCTAGTAATATTTAGAGGCACTAAAAAAAAAAGATACAGCATATGTAATGTACAGTAAACTAAGTATGAACTATGTATAAAGGTGATATGAACAGTGAAAACATGACAAGACAGGTATAGATGTGGAGGAGGTGCATTTCGTCCCTGAGGATTTGAGGCAGTCGGTTATTTCCCTTGCTGTCACCATAATTACCCTCCTCTTTTCTATATTTTTTCACTCCAATATTCCTTTATTCTACACTTTCTCGGATGTGTGTGTGTGCGTGTGTGCATGTGTCTGTGTCTGTATGTGTGATTGTGCTGAAGTGGCTGGAGCCAAGCTTTGGCGCTGTGTGTCTAATTACAGTGGTCCAGAGCCCATTGATCAGCCATTGCATGTCAAATCTGTTTACTACAGCCGTCTAACCTCCACAAGAGCACATCCATCATATTCATATTTCACATCAACACTACAACTACAGGCCTCTCCTACTGTACACACATACACTATACACTGTGTCTGCACTATAGACGGACTTGTACAGTGTTCAGCCTATCCTATTGACATGAATTTATAGATAATCAGTTAGTGCTGCTGATTTGGTTGTGGTGGTGATGATGATGATGATAGTTTCATATAGTCTGGATTTATCATAATTGTAGTTAGCTTGAGCAACAGATGCCATTAGATTCAACAGCCTATTGATATGTGTAGTGTATAATTATTAACACAGCTATCCACTCTTATCCCTCTCTCCATCCAGCCCCTTCATCCCATTATGTTCGAGTTGTACACAGAGCTCTGTGGGAGACTTTTGGCCCTGTTGTTTTATCGTCTCTTAGTCAGAAGGTGTCACTAGCGCTGTGCCCTGTCCGTACCGGGCGCCACACTGGGCTGCCTTGCTACAGGCGCTGGATTTAGTAATCAATAGCGATCGATCGATGAGGAAGGGGGCCCTGATTACTGAACCAAGCGCGCTGTAGAGAAGAAGAAAATCGATCACTGCAGCTTTTAGAGCTACAGTAGACACAGAGCAAAGAAACGGACATGCACAAAGAACTACCCACATTGGACTCATAATAGAAATGTTTTTTGGATTTTATTTTCGGCTTTCAAGTTGGTCTACTCTTTCCGGCCTACCACCCCACACCCTGGCAATTATTCTACCCGTTCGTTACTTAGCTGTGGCTGCAGTGGAAGTTTCGTAGTAAAATTGACAAAAACATAGGCTAAATATATACAATTATATATTTTTTGTTTATTCAATATTTCTCCGTCCTAAACTTGATAATTGTATTGGATAATAGCCTATAGCTTACGTTTTGGCATGTGTATATGGTTAGGGGGAAGTTGTGTTATAAAAGCAACTCATTACAAACAGTATTATATTAACATACAGTATTGTGCCTCATGCTTTTGCAGAAACAAAATGTGTTCTGCTATATGTACCTACTCCTCTTATTAGCGTTGACATATTGTGCAGAATATGAGCCTAAGTTCTCACATTTCTGTAAGATGCCATTTAACACATTTTAGCGATGGTAATCGGAGTAGCCATCAGAGTATAGGCCTAGCCTACTCAATTAATCATCATCATTACCAATCGATACATTTGGGTCGGTATAGGGTTTACCATAATATAGCTTACGGGTGTCGGCTTTTGTCATGGTTACTCAAAACAATCTCACAATGGACGGGAGGATCCTGACTTGAACTCATTTGTATTGAACTCCAATGTAAAGTTGAAAGTTATGTAAAAAAGAAAATTGACAATAACTTGCCTCTTTTTCTGGAAGTTATTATTGCTAGCATTGCAACGCACAAAAAAAAGAGGTTAAGAGAAAGGCCCTGGGTGTTCAATATCGGTTGATAGATTAGTGAATAATTCATGTGTGAAATTCAGTTCGTCCAATTAAATATGCCTCGGAAGGAGAATGGGAAGGGGCGTGGACACAAAACATGCTGGGAAAGGAAACGGATGCTAAATAATCAACAGCTACCATGGACCAAGCGTCTCTCGAATTGGTTAATTGTAGGTTTTATTTGCTAAAATGTTGTGGAAACAATGGTTCTCATAAACCTCTATGTAATTGCACTTATATGGGCGACTTGCCTACCAAGCCTGTTATTCCAAGGACCGCTTCACAGTTCCTGGGTTATCCAAATGCCATCCAAAGGCCATGTTGCCAATTTTGTGATGCTGTTCTATTTGTATGAGAAAAACAGAAACCTACTAGGTGTTAAATAAAGTTCGAGTTAAAAGATAGAAGTAGCCTCATCTCTAGACATTGAAATCACATTGGATCTATGAATGAACGACATTTTGTAATGAGCTTTGGTTATTGGCACTGCAGAATGAATAGCGCTATGATCATCTAGTCCTACAATATGGCTAATAATGTCTAATAGCAATGGCTAAATATTTTATGTCAACAGTCCTAAATGTAAAACACATGTCCGTTGAGGACTCCTGGTTAAAGTGTATATGGTGTATGGTCTACTCTAGCCCTAGACCACTGATTTAACTAATCTACCAATAAACAGTTTTACTGGCTGCGGTTCAACATCATGCACACTATAAAGCCACCTTCAAGTCCTGCTTCCATTGCCCTTACACAAAAGAACCCGAGGCACTTATCTCTGCCTTATATGCACTGCCAGTTGGCAGGTATCAGTGCGTTATCTAAAACTCAATTATTTTCCCCTGCAGGATTATAGATGCAACAGAATCGGATGCACCTTTTCTCAAGACCTTGGTGGATAGTGCTGTAAGGTGGGGCGTACAGTATTATAAAGCCATGGTTTTTGTTTTTCACTTATGTTGTGTTGCACAAAGATTGATAGGATGTGTATCGACTGGGCTGCACTTTAAAGGCTAGTTTGTACAGTATTTATTCCATTCAGACCGCAGGGCAGTGCCAAGGTTTCCCAATGCAAAGTACTTCCAACTCAATACTCCTTAATGTAATGAGGCAGAGTTGGTGCTAATATACTGATAACTTGATACAATGTGTTTGTTTACTTTGCACACTGCTCTGCTGCAAGGCATTCCCCCACAACTTTAATAACACTTTGAAAGTCACCCGGCTCAAATCACTTGATGGAAGAAGAATGGTTCTAACTGCAGTTCAGGATAAATTCACTGGTAGCGTACATTTTCATTTGACATTTTCTTTTAAAATACTATGTTATTGATACTTTATATTCTACCAGTCATTAGGCTACCATTATATCTGAGATCATCAGACAAAGAGATTTCTTTGTGTGCAACATTCAACAATCAAACGTTTTTTTTATTTTTATATTTGCTCTTAAATAGAAGTCAAGTGAGCACTTCCTTAATCACCGTAAGATAAATACGATTACCTATGCAGGCCCAGAACCTGATATAATATAATATCAAAATAATATAATATGTAGGTAGCTCATTACTTGTGATAACAACTGTGACATTCACAGCTGCAGAATTCCTTTGAAAGCAGTGCTCAAGTGCTCAGATTATCGATGGAAACATTAATTTGTACTTATTACGAGTAATATTTAACTGAAGTCAAATATGACAAAATTAGTGACTTGGCAAATGTTGTAGACGTCATGCTTAAATGTATTGATATGGCATATCATAATTGGCAACAAAAGTCGGTGAAATTTGCACAATGAAATATGGTGGCATTGCTCAGTAAACATAGCAGTCAGGCTACAGGGGAAATTTAGGAGTGCCCATCTATAGATTGCAATAGTGATATAAACTCTACTTTTGTTTTATGATTAAACATTTATAATTTAGTGCCCCCTTATTACTTTCTATTATGCACTCTGTCATGTTGGTGTTTCCCTGATTAAGAAAGGCAATAACCGACTGATTATTTTTGTTAGAGAAATACAGTTAAGGTGAAATAGCAATACAAGTGCTAGTGCAACATGGTTGTAAGAGTGGGATAATGTTAATACATTGACTAACTTCAATGAGATTGGTTTGATCTATACTTTAGGCTACATGATAATAATTATGATATTTATACATCAAGAGGTCTATCATGCCTGTAAGTGTCTTATCTAAATCCTAAATAGCAACAGGTGTATCTCAAATTTCGACGCATTTTGTTGAATGTAGCCTACCACATCGTCAGTTTATAAATCATTTGATATTATGGGATACGTTGTAAATTAATTGTGAACGTATTTGATGTATATCATCAGAATACAAATTTGATCTCGTTGAGTTATTATTTGTAGGTTATACCTGAGTTACTAATCGCCGATTTTAGCAAAATACACTTCATGCTTCCAGATGACCTTTTTTAACAAACAAACAAGTATATAAGTAAATAAAAACATTTCTGAAATAAATAAATATGTGAGCGTGTGAAAGCTGCCTCAGCAGCCAGGCTAGAGGTGTGTGCTCTGTCGGATTTGAAGTGGGAGAGCTGAGGGGGGGTATGGTGGGGGAATCGATAACTAACCGCACCGTTCAGCCAACCGGTCTGCCTGGGATCGATGGCCTGAATGGGGCTGATCTGAAATTGGGTGCGATGCGACTCTCTCCCGCAGAGGCCGGGCTACTGCGGGCGAGAAACAGTCACTATGTCAACCATGGACTCAACCTCTTGTTCATAATTACTTACTACGAATAACTGGCTTGTAACAAGTCATTGGGTCAATGTAAGAGGTGGACATGCAAGATGCACATCATCATCAGCTACGGCTGAATCATTTCAAATCATTAATATGGGCTGTTACTTAGTTTATTGCAATAGAGATTATTACAGCATCACCTCATCGTTTTCGATGATTTAATAGCAGTTATATTATGTTGCTATTGTGAAGGTGCAGTCTGTTCTTGTGTGATCGTATTTATGGAAATGTTTTTCATAGCCTATTCTTAAGTTGTTTTATAGCAACAAATCTGTTTATATGTGTTAGTTAACAGAAATACATAACCAAGCGATATATATAGGCCTACAGGCCTCAACATCAAATAGACAATGAAAAACTGCAATACCAGACCCAGAGCCTATATTGAGGATTGTTGTTTTACTTTTAAAAATAAAATTAAGACAACACAGTCAGGGTTATTTCATTGGCAGTATGGATGATTTACCACAAGAAACCACGGATTATATCGTTTTTGAGTGAGTTGTGTGGCCAACATTAACACTGCGTATCAACATTGTAAGGGAATCTTGTTCAAACGCATACTGTCACTGTGATGTTTGTTCCTCGGTAATCATGTCGGCCTACTGTTCCTGGCATGTTCAGAACGTGTTAATTTGCTCTGTAACGCCACAAAACATAATTGCTTAGGCCTAGGCTACCAGTCCTGCCTCTGTCTATTAAGTTAAACCTTAAATTTATTTACTTTTCGTCACTCTTTGAGTATTTTTCTTCTTTTTAGTGATTTATGGGACGTCTGAAGCAGCCTGCTAATCGTCTCAAAGGTCGATTTTGATGGATTTAATTCTGCAGTCAACTGAAAAGACAGTGCAGATGAGAACTTGTATGGAAAATGTTATTCAATTATTTTTTTTTTTTTTTATATAGCCCTTCGTACATCAGCTAATATCTCGAAGTGCTGTACAGAAACATTAATTATTCAACCAACGAGGCAGCTCAAATGGCTGCAAATATGACTAAATAGTAGCCTATGCAATATAAGCATAATAATAGTATCAATAAATACTACTAATCATTATTATTATTATTAGAATAATAATTAGAATTAACACGTCAGAGGAAATTGAATTAAAATGAATACAATATTTGATCAATTATATAACTATAGTCTTTATCGAACAAAAGTGGAGTATGGTAAAAAAAAAAGTTGGGCTTGAAGTCACCTAATATGTGGGTGTGTGTTGCGTTAATGCAATTGGAGACAAGACGTGTGTATCATTAACAACTAAAACACTGCAAACTATGGCGTGATAGTATGAAAAAGGGCAACACTTGTGGCTAGATTAGGTAACATATGTATCTGCATTGGACCCAAAACAAATATGCTAAAGGAGCTTGCCTGCATGATATTATTGCGATATACACCGTGGTGTAATTCTTGTGCCTTGTGAAAATCTTGAACGAATAGTAACCCTGAATGAACAGAAATTAAGGCCATGCATGGGAATTATTTACACACACACACACACATTAAGTGTGTTAATTTTGATATTGGATCATTGAATGTGATATATACATTTGATGTAATTATGTATTTGTATAGCTTCTATAAACAACAACATTTTTCATTTGTAGCCAATAGTAGAAAAGGGGTCTAAAGATTCCGGCACAGCATAGGCCTGAATAATCAAAACGATAGCCTCACTGAATAGATATTCAAACATCAATTCAAATTCTTATATTAGACTCCACCCCGTTTGTTTATTTCGCATGTAATATAGCATTGATTATTTAATCAATTGATTTCACGGTCATTTTGTTCCTTTGTTGATTTGTGTGGGTTTGCCCAACTGGAGTTTCGGGTTGCATCTGTGGGTACTGGGTGTATGTGACTGCGGTTTTTTCTGCGACCGGCTGGTGATCGACCCAGGTTTCAGTCAGTGTATTTGAGCGCATGCAGGCTCGGCTCTCTCAGGTTAGGCCGTTTGGACATTCAAATATTTGTATTTTTCAGGCTCTCTAATGATTTCTGTATTCAATAATATTTCTGTAATACGATAAAATATTTGTTCATGTGAAATTATGGTTAATAACAATTAGTCCTAACTTTCTTTCAGTTTTTCCGTTTTCAATTAGTCAAGCTGCATGCTCTTTGGAATTACTTGTCTACTATTCAACTCTGAGTTAAATGAAAAGTTTAAATGTTGGGAAAAAATTATATGATGTAAAAAATAAAAAATAAAGGAGGCGTAACATCTCCCGTATAATTAATTTTTGTACTATTCAAAATGTAATGTAAAAAATGTAAAATGTTGACACAACCGGTGTGTTATGTTGTGCAAATAATCTGGATACAAGCGTGCAAAATCTGGAATGTTTGTCACAACATTAAGCCCCTCGACTGCTTATTTATCTCTTTGCTGTCCCCTTAAAAAGCATGATCCTCTTTCGACAATAATCGATTAAGCCAATGCAGCCTGCAGATGATTGTTGGCATGCAGTGCCCGAACACGTTTTATGGTAATAAGGGCCTAATGAGATCCTTTTCTGAAGTCAGTTTTAATCACAATTTTAGAAAAGCATACTCACAAAACATTATTTCTATCATCCTTGATACTGCCTTAGAATTTGTATAGGCCTATAGTCTACAACCGAACCTGTAATATGCAAACATGGTTGTGTTTATTAAATCACTATGAATTCATGAGGCTGCTGTCATTGCATGTTGCCATTCAATTATCAGTGCAGCCTAATTAGTTGGCTATTGGCTAATGCTGCCCTACTGTTAGCCTATTCGTTCAGGCCAAAATGGGGATGTGTGCCTTTTCTCTCCTTTAAAGAATTGGGCCCCGTGTAGCTCAGTTGGTAGAGCATGGTGCTTGCAACGCCAGGGTTGTGGGTTCGATTCCCACGGGGGGCCAGTATGGGAGAAAAAAAATGTATGCACTCGCTAACTGTAAGTCGCTCTTTATAAGAGCGTCTGGTAAAATTGCGTGGACATTGTCTTTCCCTTGTTCTTTGAACGTTGCAGTATTCGCCTTAGATCGGGCATTGAACAAGACATTATCGGACCTTTAATAACCAATGTCCTGTCTGACGTCAGATAAGCGTCTACTGCTAACAGGAGAGAGAGAGCGCATTTCATCACCACTGCTCAAAGATTTACCAGCGGGCCCCGGTTACGCGGGAAGTGCTGTATTGGACAGTATACGCACCGGATAGAAGTGGATGCAGCTGACTTGCATGAGCTCAGATTCCGTCATCACATGGACGGTTGATTGTGTCACTAATTTTTCACAGTGAAAGTACCCAATTTAGGCTACAAACAACATAAGGTGTAGGTTGGCTAGATGGATAATGTTGTCTCGTTAGCTACTCATTCCACTTCACCAAAATATTTTGGGAAATCGATCAAACCCAACAAAAGATGCCTTTGTTTCAGCCATATGCCAATTCACATGTATTGATAACTAGAATCATAGTTTACGGTGCCAAAGTGATTTTGGATAGACTGTTCAATGTGCCTAATAAAACATATGATAGGCCTACAAACATAATCATTTTAATATTAATATATCTGGCAGGGAAATGTTACTGTGATTTCAGGCTACAACAATGATCCTGTAATTCAGCAAATGGCTTCTCTTACGGTTTTATATTTGAAATCGGTGACGCAACGCTATTTAACCCTTAGATGCTAGCCTCGTGCGCACAGTTCAGTCTCCTAGCAATTTGATTTAAAGGTCATTCTCTCCTATCGATCCGGTTTGGCGAGGGGGCGACGGAAAAGCGTAGGAATTGATAATCTAAAATAGAATAGACGGTATTCTAGACTGTAGGCCTATTGAGGCAAACGGGTTAGATAGACCTATATGTGCTGCATTTATAATTGCATGCCCAAGTGTGAATTCTCTCTCTGCCTGTCTGTGTGTGTAGGTGTGTGTGCGTGTGCGTGCGTGTGTACTGTGTGTGTACTGTGTGAGCATGTGCATACAGTGAGGGAAAAAAGTATTTGATCCCCTGCTGATTTTGTACGTTTGCCCACTGACAAAGAAATTATCAGTCTATAATTTTAATGGTAGGTTTATTTGAACAGTGAGAGACAGAATAACAACAAAAAAATCCAGAAAAACGCATGTCAAAAATGTTATAAATTGATTTGCATTTTAATGAGGGAAATAAGTATTTGACCCCTCTGCAAAACATGACTTAGTACTTGGTGGCAAAACCCTTGTTGGCAACCACAGAGGTCAGACGTTTCTTGTAGTTGGCCACCAGGTTTACACACATCTCAGGAGGGATTTTGTCCCACTCCACTTTGCAGATCTTCTCCAAGTCATTAAGGTTTCGAGGCTGACGTTTGGCAACTCGAACCTTCAGCTCCCTCCACAGACTTTCTATGGGATTAAGGTCTGGAGACTGGCTAGGCCACTCCAGGACCTTAATGTGCTTCTTCTTGAGCCACTCCTTTGTTGCCTTGGCCGTGTGTTTTGGGTCATTGTCATGCTGGAATACCCATCCACGACCCATTTTCAATGCCCTGGCTGAGGGAAGGAGGTTCTCACCCAAGATTGCCCTGTCCATCGTCCCTTTGATGCGGTGAAATTGTCCTGTCCCCTTAGCAGAAAAACACCCCCAAAGCATAATGTTTCCACCTCCATTTTTGACGGTGGTCATAGGCAGCATTCCTCCTCCTCCAAACACGGCGAGTTGAGTTGATGCCAAAGAGCTCCATTTTGGTCTCATCTGACCACAACACTTTCACCCAGTTCTCCTCTGAATCATTCAGATGTTCATTGGCAAACTTCAGACGGGCATGTATATGTGCTTTCTTGAGCAGAGGGACCTTGCGGGCGCTGCAGGATTTCAGTCCTTCACGGCGTAATTGTTTTCTTGGTGACTATGGTCCCAGCTGCCTTGAGATCATTGACAAGATCCTCCCGTGTAGTTCTGGGTTGATTCCTCACCGTTCTCATGATCATTGCAACTCCACGAGGTGAGATCTTGCATGGAGCCCCAGGCCGAGGGAGATTGACAGTTATTTTGTGTTTCTTCCATTTGCGAATAATCTTACCAACTGTTGTCACCTTCTCACCAAGCTGCTTGGCGATGGTCTTGTAGCCCATTCCAGCCTTGTGTAGGTCTACAATCTTGTCCCTGACATCCTTGGAGAGCTCTTTGATCTTGGCCATGGTGGAGAGTTTGGAATCTGATTGATTGCTTCTGTGGACAGGTGTCTTTTATACAGGTAACAAACTGAGATTAGGAGCACTCCCTTTAAGAATGTGCTCCTAATCTCAGCTCGTTACCTGTATAAAAGACACCTGGGAGCCAGACATATTTCTGATTGAGAGGGGGTCAAATACTTATTTCCCTCATTAAAATGCTAATCAATTTATAGCATTTTTGACATGCGTTTTTCTGGATTTTGTTGTTGTTATTCTGTCTCTCACTGTTCAAATAAACCTACCATTAAAATGATAGACTGATCATTTCTTTGTCAGTGGGCAAACGTACAAAATCTGCAGGGGATCAAATACTTTTTTTCCCTCACTGTACATGATAAAAATGTGAACGATATTGGTCCCTTAATATGCAGCAAGAGTGCAGCAAGGCTACTGTACAGTGTAAGGGGATCGCAGGCAGGGGCGACTGCCCACATTTTCTTGTGTAAGGGACGGAACAGCCTTCTGTCTCAGAGCTTTATTTGACCATTTATTGATCACTTTGTCTAATGGTGACGTTGTAATTTTCAGCGTAGGTCTGTCTGGGTATAGACCTAATCTCATTTTAGGCTATTCCCTTATCCATAGAATATTGCTTCACCATTTTAGAGAAACGTCAACATAACATAGCCTATGATTAGTGGAATACCAGTTAGGGTTTGGGCGTGTAAATGCACGCATATAGCTGCATCGTGCCAATGAAAGCATGCGTTTAATAGTCATTCCGGTGTACATTATGAAGGGTGAGCTGTTAATGGGGGAAATGGTGTTGCACATGAGCGGAGGGGGAAGGGGTAGCGGGAGGAGTAAGCCTATGCCTGCATGGCGCAGCGCCAGGATGGAAGGGAGAGACCGGGGAATGGAAATCGATACAGATTCAGAGCTCGCCAGATCGGCCTTAACAATGTATGGCGCAGACGCACTCTGTATCCCGATCACATACACACATGCAGGCACATAGGCTACACTGGAAAAATGGGGAGACGTGTCTGTGAGTGCACGTTCTCCATCACTATACTTAATTCGCCTCCTCAAACGCAGAAAAACAAATCAGAATTCGTCATCTGGCTGCATTGACAAACATTTAGAATAGATTTGAAGAATGTGAATAGCTTTTCATTAGTGCCCCGGAGAAAATGGCTGCCATTGTCCACAACAACCACATGATTTCACAGTGTGTGCGTGCGCGCGTGTGTGAATCCCAGTAGACCTATTTACAGCACACATTGCTGTGCTTAACAAAATGCGTCTGTGAAACCGCAGCTGCATGATTCTCTCCCCTTCTGTTCCCCATGCCTATCAATTATTAAAGTTCGCATCGATCATTTCGCAGGCCTGCATCAACCCGTCTCTTCATGAAAAAGCCTGCTTTCGATTATTCTAAAATAATCATGCCTAAAGGCTCTTTTCAATCAAAACCGCTAACCGGATTTCCGGGATAGATCATAAACAACATTCTTGCATCACAGCTTTTGATTAATATGTTGCCGAGTGTCTTTTGGTTAAACCTTTTGCTTTTTTAAGCACCGGAAAAGGTGCATTCTTGAGAAGAATCTCCCAGAAAAGTGTTTCCGGATTTGAGAATATGGACCTTATTCTGTGGACTCTGAACTATGTGTCTTAACATAGCCTACACAGGATGGTGAGCCTGATCTGATTGTGACATTGTGTGATATTATTGATCTTGACATGATGGTGGGTGAAGGACGTACAGCATGCTAGACGCAGGCTATATGAACATGTCAAAATTAAGAATTAGACTCGTCTGGGACATTAACATACTGTATCTCCATAGCCTACCTCAACCGTACATTGTTGTACAACACTTTATTTAAAAAAAAAATAACATTTTACTGCAGTGGGCTAAATCAGGGTCACACAGAGCGTTTCTTGGTATTCTTCAACAAATCTACTTGAAACAAAACTATACACCTCACACACGGTTATGGGCTTAAAAAAGAAGACACCTGTACCATGTCAGATATAGTTGAAATGTATTGAATTTTGAGTTTGCATCCCAATATTACACTTTAAATACTTCAAATAAGACTGAAATATAACAAAATCGTTTGACATAGAAACACAGGATTTTCGCGTTAAAAAAAAGTGTATTAATTACGAAAATATGACAAATATTAATAACATTCCACCCATGGGTTCACTAGGTCACTTGACTGCAGGGAAAGGGCTACAGCAAAGCCATAATACATTACCTCAAACATAGGTCAACAGCACCGTTCATATAGGCCTAAGATTTCAGCACCATGGACAGCGGTGATCCCAAATGAAAATGGTTTTGATCGGTGGGGTTGAACATTTCTGTAGCAAATACACTTGGAGGTGGATAGAAATGCTAGCGGTGTATGGAGCAAGCTGGGTTGATCGTTGTTTAGGTACAGTGATGGCATTGGGATTATGTCCCAACTGTGTAGAGACAGGCAGCCATAATTCCGAGTATATGAAGGATGCATGTCATCCAGACTTGTGTATAAACTGTTGGATGATAGATTAATAAAATACTCGTTTTACTTATATTTTTTCATGAGTAGCATAGCCATCTTAAATATTTGCTCCATACAGAAATAGCAGTGGTATGGGGACAGCAGAGAGGTCGACCTCCCTTGATGTAAATGTAGGCCTAGCCTGTGATGAAGTTGATTGAGCTATTCTCTCCCTATCCATAGTCTGCCTGTATTATGGTAGAATAACCTCTTACTAGAAGAGAGAATAATCTCATCACCAAAATCGAATTTTTACAAATGATAAATTGTTGATATTCCCCTTCACATTTTGGATAAATGAGATTGATGCTCTTGCGAAATATTTCATTGCGTCGCATTTTATGCATCGGTAATTTGGCAGGATCGAATCATTTTTGTTGTCTCTATTGTCTTCGGAGTGTGTCTGGAACAATGCGTTGGTGAATACATGTTAACACAGATCCAGGCTGATTGTATAACCCAACCCCCAAAGGGTGTTTTGAGAGTGAGTTTGCCATCCAGTCTACAGATGTAACATGATTACAACAGAGAGAGGGAAAAAGGTGTGCAATGGGGGCTTTCTCCAGTCTCTCCATCCCCTTTCTCGGCTACACGCCACCCCCCACCTCTCTGGGAGAGTCCAATGGGAGAGAGTGCTGAGGTGGAATAATTGATAGATGCACTGGCTATCCTTATCGATCACTGCTTTATTGACCCGACCAAATACATTGAGATGGAGTGTGGAATTCAACGCAGATGCAAATACGAATAGTTTTTTTTTTATCGTTAATGCAATCTTTAAATGTCTCAGCCCTCACTTTGCCGTGTCTTTCTCGACACAATCCAAGTTGTTGTTTACCTATAATGCATCCTTGTTTACGTTGGTTCAAAATGTCAACAGATGCACTTTGTGAGCTTGTTTTTGTAAATTATCATCTGTCCTAAAAAGCCAATCAGCTTGATACATGATCAACGTGATGCGTAACGAGGCACAGGTTGGCCTTAATTGTAGGCCATACTATAGGTTTGCACTTTGGTGAGATTCGCTTTGCACTTGCCCTCCACTCGCGGACAATGCACCACACATTTGTAACCAGGCGTTTTATGGTGCGCGCATAAAGGGCACGCAGCCCCCCTCACTTGACTACATCGTGCTCAGTTTTTAATTTTCTGGGGAAGATTGTCATGTGATTGTGCAGACACTGGCATTTTCGCATTAGCTAAGCAGGGAAGCGGCATTGATTTGTGGGACTATGATGAATTTGGAATAGTAATTTGAATTTATTGATTGATGTGGCCGACGGAGAATCCGCACCCTCCCTTTTAGAATCCCAACTCCCACTCCCAACCCACATCGCACAGTGGATAACGGCGAATTGAAATGCAATAAGTAAAATGTAGCTCCCACCATTTACATGTCACAGTAATTTGTCATTTTGCCCAACTCCATTTTGCCTGCGAGCAACTGACAGCACAAGGTAGCTCACACGACAACAGACAGCACGTCAGGGCCAGAGGATAACCACTCGCTCGCAAAGAGTGCAGCTATTAAACAATCATAGCCATAATCATAATCATAACAACAACAACCATAACAATCACGATTACATCACTACTACTAATGATAATGATTGATACTTGACAATAAATAATGATACTTGCACTACACCTATTAGGCATATAGCCTGTAAACTATTGAAGAATAGCCATTATACACATGGGGGTACAAATGGAGCATAGGCGTATCAATTCTAAAATGAATGCATACGAACGTGCATGCATGCTGCACATAGACAGGCATACTGTAGCCCTACATGCATGCATGCAGAAATACACATGTATGGGAAGTTCTGTGCCATAGTTCTAATATAGTACATTCAGTCCATTCATTGAGAGGTTTGTATCATAGTGTGGGGGGGGGGGGGGGGCTGTAAAACCCCACTGCTCAATTAGGTTTAACAGCAATGGCACTTAAAGAGACAATTGTGGACTGTTTAAATCTTTATTTACCAGAACCCCACTAAATGCGGAACAATTTACATTCCATTAAGTGCTTTTCAATAGGGCATTGACTGGAACTAAAATATGCCACTATATCTGCTTAATTGAACTGTCCACTGAAATAAGACAGAGAAGTACTGATTGGCGTTTTGAAGCGCGTGCATGTCCAAACGCGTGCATGTTCCTTTGCAGAAACATCAATGAAAGTGGCCATCACTTCCAACTCGTATGATTTTATAGCTTTTCACCCCTAATTAAGCCTCGTTAATTAGCTCCCAAGCTTTATAACTTGTACAAGAACACCATTTTTTGGTGACTTTTTAGCCTTCGTGGAGATTTCACCGCAGGGCCTTGGGATAGCCTGGTGGTCATTGTTCCAAACTCTTACCTCTCACTGGCAAAATGAATAAATTAACTGATGAATTAATAAATAGGAATAAATGGTTACAACTTATGAATTCAGAGTGAAAAATGTGTGCATTAGAGTTGCATAGACCTATGTAAAAACAACAACATTTTAGGCTGCTATACTAGGCCTATGTATTTTTATAGCCAGTATAGGCGAAAACACAATGTACAACTTCGGCTGTAGTGTTATTGCTGATGATTTAGAGTTGGTATGTTGTAGATTTAAGGAAAGTTACCTTTCACAGTTAATTATGACAGTAGGCCTATTTGTATTTAATCTCCATTCAGTTCTTATTTTCAATTCTTATTTTACTTTTACTTATTCATAATCACAATATATCACCACGAAGTCGCTATTCCACCTATAGATGACTTCGAGACTTTATAAATAAAGTGTAAGCCGCAGAATGTTGAAAATCAAAGACAGGCGCATCTGTTTGTTGAGCTGTCTTTCAGATCCAAATCGATCATTTATCAGTGTGCTACTTTGAAAAGGGACGCGGGGACCCCTTAGTATCGATTCGCAGGAGGTCACGCTCCCGACTTGCTGCTAGGCCCTAGCATCTCAGACGCGCCTTGTTTGCGCCTCGCCGAGTAGACAGGGAAAGGGAAAGCCCACGATAATTCCAGGTCCATTTGATACATAATACGCTGACAAACGATATTTAACATGAGGCTAATGGAACGACTCCACACCAGAAGAAGAGTGAATATGTGAATTTTGACAGTCTGCTGGTCAATAATCGCACCATTGTAGGCCTACACGCGTTATTGTGGCCCAAATGATACAGTTACAGAGAACCACAATCAATTTGATTCAGCTCTTTCTGTGTTTGATTTCCTATTGTCTGTGGTCGAAACACCTTGTCGTGTGTGTGTGTGTGTTCCCCATTACGCGCGTGCGTAAAATTGATACAAGTATAATGTTGGCAGCATATTAGTGAGTATTCAAAAACTTGAAACAAGTTAATTTCTATTTTTTTCTTCAAGTTTAACAGCTAATTAGGATATCACCTGCAGAGTAGACTACCACAGCATAGCTACTGTTTACTCTTTCATACTTTATTATATGAGCATGAAGCAGTCAATCCAACTGGATTTACATATCTTTTCAAACAACCAATTCAACATGCTGGTTTAATAAAGTTTAAAGAATAATAGCCATTGTTAACACCTCAAAGAATCCATACAACTTGTTACAGTGATATCTGTTTGAGTAGCGATTGATAGTCTCGCCACATTGATTTCTAAGATCCCTTCACATTTGGACGTCTCCTTACTCACCTGCTAGTCTGAGTGCCGACATTCTCTGGAACTCAGGTTCCTGCAGCCACTTCCACATCCTCCGGAAGGTTTCCCGGCCAGACTTGAGTTTACTCCAGGGTTTAGGGTTCCTCAGCAGGTCAGACAGGGTTCCCTGGGACCGACACAAGATCCGCTGGGCGAAGATGGCCTGGGGAATGCTGTAGCGCTTGAGCTCCGCCGTTATTCGTTGTGCCACCTCCTTGGTGTTTATTTCTTCCACCTGCCCCGACCCACCTCCCTGCCCGCCCCCCACCGTCTGCCTCTCCCGGTCAGAGAGCATGGACCCGTTAGCCTGAGAGTGCGGATGGCTGTGATGGTGCATACCGTTCAGGGATGACATGATGCCGGCCCCGTGGCCCCCAAATCCCCGGGCCAGGTGTTCCTCGCTCCGGGACAGCATCGCTGCGTGAGACTCGAAGCCTCCGGACGAGAGCATCTTGTCGTTGGAGAGGTGGGCGCCCGGACCGTAGGCGCCAAGAGTCTGCTGCGAGTTGTGCAAAGACCCGAGGCCGTTGGAGAGAGGGGACAGCGGCTGGCCCATGCCGGACATGTCTTTAGGGTAGTGGCCGTAAAGGTTGCTCATCGAGGCAAGGCTCCTGTCGTCCCGCATGAGGGTGAAGCTGCCGCTGACGTTGCCGGCGGTGAGACGCTGATGCGCCGGATGGTGGTGAGCGTGCGGGTGAGGATGATGGTGAAATTTATCCGAGACGGTGGATATGGGAGGCAGGTGCTGCAGCGGTGTCAGCGTAGTGTAAGTGCTGCTCATGGTCATCCCGGAGTCGCAGGACATGGTCATTGCGGGGTGCAAGGGACCGGACAATGCATGGTCTGTGCGATACTCCCCAGCTCCCTCTAATATTGAGGCCATACTGGACACCATGGCTGACCGTCCGTGCGACACCAAGTTCCGATGCGACGCTAAGGACTGCCGTCCATGGTGCGGAGAGTTCATTAAGTCACCCGTTTGATGAGAATGAGATACACCGTGCAGATTTCCAATGTTTTCCATTGAAAGTTCCATTGTTGAAATAATCTTTATTTACACCTCTCTCTCTCTCCCCTCTCTCTCACTCGTCCGCACTCTCTTGCTCCCTCGCTCTCCCTCTCCCTCTGTCTCACACACTCCTTTCCAATAAAATGTTAACGATTTCAAAGCCAAGCCATTGATTGTAGTAGCCTCTTCAGTCAATCCAGCATGATTTCAAGCGATCAGTTGCCCGCGACAAAGCTGTGCCATAAACCACTGCTCACACTTCTGGTATGGTGTCTGCTTGTTTGTAGCCTATTCCATTCGCTGTAGAGCACCACTACAATCGAAAGCAAAGGCTGTGCTTCCAGCGTGTATGTTGACGTGCCCGCGCATATGTTAAGACGTGACTGTGCATGTGTGCGCGCACTGTGTTACAGTGTTAGCGTTCAGTCCAGGGGCGGACTGGCCTTCTGGCATTTCGGGTAAATGCCAGATGGGCTTTTCCATTTTTAGCCCAGTGGGCCTGTCTGACTTGGGTTTTATGGGCAAAATAATCTTTATCTGAATAAAAATGGGGGCCTCAAGGAAGAAAATGGTTCGGTGTGGGTGTCTCGAGGGGAAAAAAATTGGCTAGTGTAGGGGCCACAAGGGAAAAAATTGACAGTTGTGTTAGAACTCCCAGGGCCGATTTCTGGTCCCAGTCCACCCCTGATTCAGTCTGGCGCTGTCTGACATCACCAGCCCTTTGTCAGGTTTGCTCATGATGTAAACTAAACCTGGAATTCCTCAACAAGATTACATTAGACATTTAAAGAGATAAGAGACAGACATGTATCTTGAGCAAAACTGCAAGCCCTCGCCATGCAACATTTACCTTGAGCTATTGGGGAGTCCTGGATAAGAGACTTTGGTTTAGCCTGATAAAGCCGCCTAACTTGGTGCCAGGACGTGATTTCTCAATGGTTAAATATTAATTGACATGCTTAACATCATGCTACTGCCATGAATAAAAAGCTTTGTTCTTCTAAACAATCTTGCACTTCATAAAGATGCATGGTAGCCGATACACCTTGGAGTTTTCAGGCAGGAAAACAATTTAGGGAGAAGTCATTGGGAAAATGCTATGCATTTTGTTGTGTGATACAGTGCCTCCAGAAAGTATTCACCCCCCTTGACTTTTTCCACATTTTGTTGAGTTATAGCCTGAATTTAAAATAGATTACATTGAGATTTTTTTGTCACTGGCCTACACTCAATACCACATCATGTTAAAGTGGAATTATGTTTTCCTAAATTTTTACAAATGAATAAAAAATGAAAAGCTGAAATGTCTTGAGTCAATAAGTATTAAACTCCTTCGTTATGACATGCCTAAATAAGTTCAGGAGTAAAAATGTGCTTAACAAGTCACATAATAAGTTGCATGGACTCACTCATCTCTCTACCCCACACAAACAATAATCTATAAGGTCCCTCTGTTGAGCAGTGAATTTCAAAAACAGATTCAACTACAAAAACAAGGGAGGTTTTCCAATGCCTAGCAAATAAAAGCACCTACCTATTGTTAGATGGGTCAAAATAAAAAAGCAGACATTGAAAATCCCTTTGAGCATGGTGAAATTATTAATTACACTTTGGATGGTGTATCAATACACCCAGACACTACAAAGATACAGGCGTCCTTCCTAACTCAGTAATCGGAGAGGAAGGAAAGCGCTCAGGGATTTCACCATGAGGCCAATGGTGACTTTAAAACAGTTACAGGGTTTAATGGCTGTGATGGGAGAAAACTGAGGATGGATCAACAACATTGTAGTTACTCCACAATACGAACCTAATTGACAGAGTGAAAAGAAGGAACCATGTACAGAATACAAATATTCCAAAACATGTATCCTGTTCACAACAAGGCACTAAAGTAATACTGCAAAAAATTAGGCAAAGCAATTAACTTTTGTCCTGAATAGAAAGTGTTATGTTTGGGACAAATCCAACACAACACATTACTGAGTACCACTCTCCATATTGGCAAGCATAGTGGTGGCTGCATCATGTTATGGGTATGCTTGTAATCATTGTCTAGCAATGATCAACAACCAATTTAACAGAGATTGAAGAATTTTGAAAATAATAATGGGCAAATATTGTACAATCCAGGTGTGCAAAACTCTTAGAGACATAGCCAGAAAGACTCACAGCTGTAATCGCTGCCAAATGTGATTCTAATATGTATTGACTCAGGGGTGTGAATACTTACAGTGCATTCGGAAAGTATTCAGACCCCTTGACTTTTTCCATATTTTGTTACATTACAGCCTTATTCTAAAATTGATTAAATCGTTTTTCCCCCCTCATCAATCTACACACAATACCCCATAATGACAAAGCAAAAAATGGTTCTTAGATATTTTTGCAAATAAAAAACTAATACATTAACATGAAAGGTATAGGCAATAGGCCTATATGCTGTATAATAATAATAATAATAATAATAATAATGCGATGTGTATGCAGAGATTGTGGCACCAGTTGGACGCTATACACTGAAAAAAATAAAGGTTCTTAAATGGTTCTTCCTCAGCTCTTAAGGTTCCTTGGAGAACTTGCCCCATAAAGAACCTTTGAGTTAAGTGTGGGGTTCTTGACGTGGCATCTACGGTTCTTCAGAATTCTAAAAGGTTCTTGAAATGTATGGAAGCCTGCAGATGTGTCCCTTTCATAGCACTCAGTAAATTGGCCAGTGTTAACTAGTGTTGATTTTTCAGTGTAACATTTCTAGTGTTGATTCAAGGGTTAAATTAACACTCGGTGGTGTAAAAGAACGCCAGTTTTGGTGCTAATAAGCAGATATGTTTGTTTCAATATCTATGTTGAAACAATGTTAAGCAAATACAGTATAAATAATATACATTTTTCAAAACTATTCCAATCTGTTACTTGGACTTATTGCACCCATTACTGAAATGGTTGTTCAAGTTTAGATGTTTAAGGTAGTCTCATTTCTTAGTCTTCCCAACCCTGGCATTCATTCTGAATGCAGGTGAATACAAATTCCAAATGTTGAATATCCCCACTCCGGCTGGATTCCAATAGGAATTACACATCATATTGCAAGCCAGCATAATGTGTCTTGCAGGCCTGGTGTGACCTGTAAACTATGAGTTTCAGGCCGCTGTATTATGGTAAAACTAGGCCCTGAAAAGAAGGACTTATGAAATATGTATTATATTGTCTTAAATATTTTTTTTGAATGTCAACATTTTCACTTAGGATCTCACTTGGTGAAAGCCACAGGACTGAACATTTATTGTGAAGAGGGCACAACAGCGCCTCCTCCCCCTCAGGAGGCTGAAAAGATTTGGCATGGGCCCTCGGATCCTCAAAATGTTCTACAGCTGCACCATCAAGAGCGCCTTGACTGGCTGCATCACCGCTTGGTATGGTAAATGTACCGCCCTCGACCGCAAAGTGCTACAGAGGGTGGTGTGGATGGCCCAATACATCACTGGAGCTGAGCTCCCTGCCATCCAGGACCTCTGTATCAGGTGGTGTCAGAGGAAGGCCCGAAACATTGCCAATGACTTCAGCCACCCAAGCCAATGGAGTCAACATTGGCCAGCATCCCAGTGGAACGCTTTCGACACCTTGTAGAGTCCATGCCCCGACTAATTGAAGTTGTTCTGAAGGCAAAAGGGAGGGTGCAACTCAATATTAGGAAGGTGTTCCTAATGTTCGGTATACTCAGTGTATACACACTATATACACACTCAAACTACACTGACACTCTCACATAAAATACTCTCACATGCACTACATACGCACACACACATAATACACAAGCATACTGACACAACACACACACACACACACACTTTTATACTCATAATATGCTGTTGCTACTATGTTCTTTATTTTACCCTTATTATTATTATTATTATTATTATTATTATTATTATTATTATTATTATTATTATTATCTATCCTGATGCCTAGTCACTTTACCCTGCCTTCATGTACAGTACCAGTCAAAAGTTTGGACACCCCTACTCATTCGAGGGTTTTTCTTTATTTTGTTACTATTTTCTACATTGTAGAATAATAGCGAAGACATCAAAACTATGAAATAACACATATGGAATCATGTAGTAACCAAAAAAGTGTTAAACAAATCAAAATATATTTTATATTTGAGATTCTTCAAATAGCCACCCTTTGTCTTGATGACAGCTTTGCACACTCTTGGCATTCAGTGCATGTGACAAATAAAATTGGATTTGATTTGTTTTTTAATGAATGCAACAACCATGTCAAACACAGTCATGGGTTGTACTGGTAACTCTAAAATTCACACCAAAGGCAACCTGGGGAATATGCAAATACGGCTTAAAACCCTACAGCAGGGCTATTGAGACTGTATCTGTGCCTCGATCTAGGTTGAGCAAAACAAAACATGTGTTCTCCTTAGCAATCTCACTGAAATAAAGACCTCCTCCATTCCTGTCATTATTGAAAGAGATTGTGATATCTCACATCTCAAAATAGGGTTACTTAATGTTAGATCCCTCACTTACAAGGCAGTCATAGTCAATGAACTAATCACTGATCATAATCTTGATGTGATTAGCCTGACTGAAACATGGCTCAAGCCTGATGAATTTACTGTGTTAAATGAGGCCTCTCCTCCTGGTTACACTAGTGACCATTTCCCCCGCACATCAGGATTATTTCCTCATAATCCTGGACTATTGGACCACCATTTTATTACGTTTGCAATCGCAACAAATAATCTGCTCAGACCCCAACCAAGGATCATCAAAAGCCGTGCTATAAATTCTCGGACAACCTAAACATTCCTAGATGCCCTTCCAGAATCCCTCCACCTACCCAAGGACGTCGGAGTACAAAAATCG